CCCCCCCCCGAACATCCACACCAGATCCCCAACAGAAAGAAAAGAGAAGCCTATTGGATCCACAATCTAAACACCATCCAACCATACGGACTCAACCTACGGGTCGAAATACCGGGATGGATAGAAGATCATCACAATAACCCGGCCAACATGGAATCAACGGAAAGCTTTCCCTAGCCAGACGAACCCAGGGTAGCGAGCATTTCGATTCACTTTTGAACACATTTATATATATATATATGCCCCATTTCTCTCTATCTCCGTCTGTCTGTCTCTCATTCCCTCGCCGAGTAAGTTTAATTCGTGTATGCGGATGGCTGGGTGAAACAATGTGCTAATGAATGATGCACACACATGCGCGCACGCACACCTAATTTCATCTTGCTCCCGTCGCGCTTGCTAACCACTATGCAAAGCCTCGTTATGTCGAGCATTATTATTCGTGTTGAATTGAGTAATTACTATTATTAGAAAGGCTCGCACACTTCGGGAGCTCGGTGGAACCAGCGTACGCGCGTACGCGTGTCTACCACTCTCACAGTAACTCTACCCCACCCTAACTCTGCGCTCACCCAACCTAACTCTGAGCTCCCCACCCTGATTCTACGATCCCCCGCCCTGATTCTGTGCTCACCCACACTAATTCTGCTCTCCCCCACCCTCACGATACCCCCACTGCCCGTGTGACAGTGCCTGGCAGCAAAGTCATCGCCAGATTGCCTGCCACAGGCACGTCTGTTTTAACAGGTGCACTGGCGTGCATGGTCACGCACGGGGCACGCAGGTGTACGGCTCCCACTGCCGCACGATGACGCACGTTCCGACTCGTAAATCTCTCGCGCCGCCACTCGCGAACCCGAGAGAGCCGACAGCTGCAGCTCCGATAGATGCGGAGGATGAGGAATCCCGAGTCGTAGTAAGCAGCTTCACTGTGCGCGAGCTCAGCAGCGCAATGATGCGGACCTCATATCGGTGAGTGGTGGCATAACGGCCAGACTCGGAACATGGGATGAAATCGCGTGCAAACCGCAGGTAGTCGTCGATATATGAATTGACATGTGATATACATATACATAAATATAATATATATTTCTCTCTCTATCTCTTTATGCGTAAAATCGCCGCTGAAATGTTTCGAGATTGTTCGAAACGCACGCGAGCGGGAGAATGGGAAACTGGAGAATGCGAAACATTGTTCAACATTTGAACGGCGACGAGCGCCGACAATTTTCCGACGACATCCTCAAACTAATTTCAAAGACCTCGCCGAGGGACTGTCGTCCGTGACCTTGAAGTCACACCGACCGCTCTGCGCATGCGCCGCTACGTAATAGCTTGCGTACGTGGACACTGCAGTACAGACATGGACAGCTTTGTTAGTACGGTGAGTGACGATAGTGGTGGCGATGTGGACGCGTGTAAAAATATCCAGCCGCAATCTTTGTTTAAAAACATGACTGATTGCCGAACGACGCGAGCGCCCTCTGCATTGATGCGATGACGCGCCACGTCACGTGCCACAATCGGCTGCGTTGCATGTAAGCATTGTATTGTCAGCTCGCTCGTTTTCTTCCCTGTCGACATTTAAAAGCGCGGGAGAGGGAGGGAGAGAGAGGGAGAGAGGGAAAGAGAGGGCGAGAGAAAGAAAGAGAAAGAGAGAGAGAGAGAGAGAGAGAGAGAGAGAGAGAGAGAGATAGAAAGAGAAAGAGAGAGCGAGAGAGCGCGCACGCGAAAGAGAGAAACAGGGAGTTGGATTAACAGAGAGAGAGAGAGGGGGCGCGAAAAAGAGAAAAAGAGAGAGAGAGAGAGAGAAAGAAAGAGAAAGAGGGAGAGAGAGATAGAGAGAGATAGATAGAGAGAGAGGGGGGGGGAAGAAGTAGGACAGCAAAGTAAGAAACAGAGAGAGGGGGAGAGAGAGGGAGCGATAGAGTGGGAGATAGAGAAGGGGCGTGTGAGAGACTGAGCGAGGAAAATCCAGAGCACACTGTAGCGCCAGGCGAACAGGAACATGCGCCACAATGGACGGTAGCACG